GTGACTTTCATAGTATCATTCTTAACTATTATTGCACAAATGTTTATACTAATATCCGGTTTCAATTTGTATACTATTACATAAATCTACATGTATTTATCCGAGTGCACTAAAGGGTTTTTATTTTGTTTTTCTAAATTGTTGGTTTCCTTCTGAGGTTAATATTCATTACACAATTATTATTCTTATCATGGATCAAAACTTTTCACTAGGTGTCCACTTCTTTTCACTCCATTCTTTCCCTCTAAATAAATATTCTTAAGATTACGAAGTTTGTAATTAAAACAATAACTTGTGTTACACTTAAATTAAATTCTCAGACCCGTTTTATCTTCACTATGCATATATGACCCATACATATTGATATTTTATTATCCCATTCATTTAATTGTAACTTTCATAGCATCACTCTAAACTATACCTGCACAAACACTTATTCTAGTGTCATATCTTACTGTAATTATAAGTTATTTTTTCTTAATTATTTTTTGTTACTAATTTAACGATACACACATAGTCGTTTATTCTTGTTCTGTGTTCGTAAACACGCCAATTAAACTGTTTGCGTATTTCACGTCTCCTTTATTTCTATTCCCTCATTTTCTCCGTTTCCTTCTTTAAACTCAATTCAATATTCTTCTCAATTGCAGAGACCCGATTTATTATTATTATTCCACTATTATTGCTCTAAATTTTTTTTTAAAATGGCAAGTATAATGCTGACATCATTGAAAACTGTGTATTATTGCATTTTTTGAAGAAACCCGAAATGGTTTCTTCACAACACTTATGTACCCATAAGATTTTTGTGAATAATAATAATAACTGTCTCGAGAAGAATGTCAAAGGTTGCTAGGTGTTGTTAACCCAATGTTGTAAGACTGCTTCGAAAACTAAGTTTCCTCCATCTACGGTGATACTGGTGTGTGTTTACGTATCGTGTTGTGAGAGCACAGTTGATTTTGCAGTAGTTTTCTTCACTTTGAAGATTGCGCTCATCACGTTTTAGCAAGAATCCATGAATTTTGCACTTCCCTGGAGTTGTCCAGTTGAGGATCTTATGAAATACCCTCTTGTAAACTCAGGGCCATGTTTCTATATAACAGCACCAAGCTTTGAAGTCATTAGCCAGAATGACACGAGTTTTAGTCTTGGACATTTTAGTATGAGTTCCGACACACAAAAATAGAATGCATAACCATGCTAAAAATTTCTGAGAAGACGAAATATCACGATACGTAAAAATATAAATATACAGTTTTTCAACAAGGAACAGACAGCTTTGTGTTTGCTGTAGCAGATTACGTCGAGATAACCGCTAAAGATATCATGAATATTTAGCGTTTAAAAACGCTTTCTTCCGTAACTTCTTTATAATCTAATGATCTCATACTCAGCCAAAATCAAATGTCAGGAGCGAAGGAGTTCAAAATTTTATTTGAAAGGTATTCAACGTGTCGTTCAGTGCTTGATCTTGTGGATCGCCAGTGTAGATGGTCTGTGTCGAATAACTAGGGGCCGACTCCGGTTAGCCGGGAAGAGCATGATCAACTAGCTAAGGTCACAGTTGTACCTCACAGTTATTGCCTAGTGTGGATTACTCCTTCATCGTATCTATGTGCTACGGCTGCTCTGATAACCGTACAACTCAAATAACGTTACTAAAGCAATACATTAATAAGAATAGGTACAGAAAACAGAATGTGACCACTGCTGCATGAGGACGTTCGCGGTGCACAATTATCTGATGAGCGTTGATTGCCGTTGACCTAGACGAGGATCGGTGAACTGTCAGACCTTCAGTGAACCGACTGTCCGATGATTTGGCTGGGGCACAGTGACAGTTCAATGGTCTTACAATCTAAACTGATTGTTTGTTGCAAGGGATGAGTAGCACAGCGTACCAAATGGTGATATGGTTAGGGTGCTTGTCTGAGCTTATTCATCTAAGGTGCATCTGGTGAAATTACTGAGGTCAGTGTCAGTTTCGACGATCCACAGAAACGCTGATTTAAAGCATATATTTGCTACTACAATGGCACCTGCAAACCTAAATAACGATATCTCAGAGACAAACGAGGCAAATTACAACAAAACACGGAAGGAGTAGTATATTGAGTCGCCGAAAGACACATTAATTTTGAAGATATGTTGCGTTTTCGACAAATACTTCGATAATAAAAGACAGGGGCATATACACTCAAAATAATTTTCACCTCAGAGCACCCACAAAATTCCTTCAAGTGGTTCAAATGGTTGTGGACGGAATAGAAGAAGCTTCGGTTTAACAGGATTTTATGTCTAGTAACAGTGGATCACCAGTACCTACAGGCAGAAACCTAGAAATGTTGACGAAAATAGAGGAAAAAAAGAAATTGGTAAATCATAATAAGATATTATTCTTAGCCCTTAAGAAAAGGTCAAGTTTCCTCTTAAAGTACTCCTGAAAAGTTGCTTGGACCAGTTCAGTCAGCAGCAAATTCCAGCAATTGACAACTCTTAGAGAAAAAAAGTTGTGTCTAAAGTCCGTTCCGTTATGTTGTTTTTCCAGTTTCTGAGTGTTACCCCTTAGGTTTGTGTTGGAGCTAAACTTAAGTAGGTGTTTAAGAGGATGAACAGAAGTGTTAAGGTTGCTGTAAGCCAATAAAAGGTTACCTCTAAGACGTCTATACTCCAATGAGTAAAGGTTAAGTGATTGAAGGCCCTCTTCGTAAGGTCTGAATTTAAGTCCCCGAATCGATTTCGTGACTAGCCTTTGGATACGTTCCAGAGTGTCTTTGTTTTTTGAAGTGAGGGAGGAAATAGTATGTTTTTGTACACTAAATGGGGACGAATAAAACTACTGAAGATTACGTGGAGAGTTCTGCCGTAAAACTAGTCAGGTTTGCTCGAAAGACATATTTGTCACAGTTGGCTAAAGGCTTGAGATCGTAGAGTACCGGGACTCGTAGATTCATTTTAACTTCGAATCTTCTAGTAAGTAGTTTTCTAAGCTATAACTGTAGCCTGCAATATGCCTCAGATAGAATTCTTTACACTTTGAAGTGTTAAAGGTAGGCCCATTGTCATCTGCCCAACTTTGGATTCGATTCAGACCATCCTGAAGTGCCATCATATCCTCTTGGTTGCATATCTCTCTCCAAAGTTTCACATCATCAGCAAAAAGTACTAAGTCAAACGATACATGTTGTGGAATATCGTTTGTATAAATCGAGAGAAGAGGCCCCAGTACCGAACCCTGGGGGACCCCACCAGGACATTCCATAGACTGAGAGGAAGTTAAGTTAACCTTGACCTTGAAATGTCGATTTTTTTAATATGAAGCGAGCCGGTCAATTGGAGGTGATTTGATACCCAATCGTTTTAGCTTATTGAGAAGACATCAATGGTTAACCCTATGAAAAGCTTTGAGAAGTCAAGGCAAATGACGTCAACATTCCCCTTGTGATCAAGGATGGTTGTTCATCTGTCCACCACAGTCAGCAGGTTGGTTATACAAGAGTAACCCTCCCTGACACCATTCTGTTGGGATTTAAGAATAATAAACAGTCGCATATCAGGGACTCAATAATTTTTGAAGGTATGGAAAGAAGAGCCACCGGCCGGTAGCTTGAAGGTTCGCTGCGTCGACCTACTTTGGAAATTGGCGCGATGTGAGCCGGCTTCCAAATATGCTGTAAGTGTGAGAACATCACCCCAAACGGTGTTGTCAGGATTACAGCTGCTTCTCGTGGCATAGCAGAATGAACCATATCCGGACCAGAAGAAGTGTCTTTTCTTCTAGAATCAGGGTATGAGTGAATCCGAAAAGAGTAAGGCGGGATCATTCTTCCAGCATACTATTGTCGTGCTCGATTTCAGCATTTGTCTTCCTGTAGATGACTTCAGTTAGACACCTTGAGGTGGTGGACAATCCTACTGAGCACCATACGGATTCATCAAGATTGATAAACTCCTGGTTGTGCACTTGATGAACCTCTAGGCAATATCGTAAGTAAAAAGTTACTCCACTCTCAATTCTTGTTTTTCTGTCATTGCGAAACGAAAACCTCGCAGGTATTGCTAGATCCTGGTCCGTAAACTGAGAAGATATCCGAGTTTCGGATATTCCTACCAGATGAGCATTATTAGCATTGCTAAATTCACGTAGCTAATCCATTCTATTCGGTAAACTCGCGGCGTTCATGTATAAGCAGTTTTTGATTTCAATTTGAAACGAGTAAGCTTCACCGTCCCGTGTGTCTGTATGAGTCTTACGTGAATGGACAGGTAGGCTACTTATGCAATGTTTTTCGAGTTGACAGTCTGTCCGTTATACGTTTTTTATGATCAAGACAGTCCACAAGTGAAATGGTCAGCTCTAACTCGACTTTGTGCTTGATCCTGGCGTTCTGTGGCCTATCCGGATGCATATGGATCCCAGTCATACTGCATTCTGTGGGCACAGAATGCTTCCAGAGTAGCCGCCGCCATATGGGAGGATGGAAAGTTATCTTCATTAGCCGGGGCCTAGAATCTCCGCCCTTCTTGGCTCGACTCACCACTTGTTGAGTCAGTATATTTTCGAGCTTCAAGGATCGCTTGGTGAATTTCCATTCCCTAATATCAGGGTTTGAGTGACCAGGGACCGTTCTTTTCAGCACACCTTGCACAGTGGTATTTCTTCCGCGGAAAAACTCGAGAGATACTTTACGGTGTTCCGGATGAGATCGCGCTCAGAATACGATATACCAGGCATTATTCTTACATTCCCATCTGATTTCAATAAGTGATTAGCCAGTAGGATATCCAATACTTCGGTAGCGTTAGTGATTGTTACACGAAGTAGCTTCGGGTGGTTTTGATGCTTAGAGATCTTTCCCCTAGTGAAACGTGTGATCGTCAAGGGATCTCCTTAGATGGAACTCACAGATTCCAGGATAATGATTCAATCCATGAAATTAAATGTCCTGGCTTTTGATAGGGTGCATGTGGATAACTTATCAAGCACAAAGAGCATTGAAACATTCAATGGAATCTGAATTAGGAGCTTGTAAAATCAACCAATGACATTTGTGCGTAGCACTTGAAGGCTTGACGACTTTGGACGTTACTGTAGACGTGTGAAGCGCTAGTGTTTATTGGTTTTACATATTTCTGTCAATAGTAAGTAGCTTTCAAGAGTTTTGAAGTCGTAGTATTTTACTTTTGTGGTCAAATATATGTGTATAATTACAAGATAGTTGGAAACGACTCAGTTGAGAATTCCACAGTTCAAGCCTGTAGGGAGGACTGGACTAATATGGGTTACCGTAGTAAATAACCCGCACATTTGGTAAGCAACCTTTAGGATTCAAGAGTTCCAACCACTAAGTAGTCCATATTTTTTCGGACAGTAAATAAATAAATATATATATATAATACAATACATAAGCTAATAAATGTAGGGAATGGAATTACTGACCATCTTGCAAAGTACTTGGATATTGCAAATGCTAGGGTTTGGTTGTTTTTAATTCTAAAGGTCCGTTTTCTGTACCAGATTGCGAAAGATTGAAAATCTTGCACAAAGAGTATTTCAATGGGTTGGGACACGATTTTTACCAAGATCCAGCACTAGTTTATACCTGGTGGTGTGATGTATTAAAACTCTAAATAGTTAGTGCTTGTCTGAACAGTTTGTGTTGTTGACTTGATAGCCAAAAAGCGTTCGTTTAACCTTCTTTTCATAATCCGTTTGGGAAGAGTGATTACTCCAAAGCCTCTTGTAATGTCCTATTCCAGGACCATAACATAACCGAATATATGACTAAGCGTTACACGGCTTGTGCTACATTCTGTTAGTAAGATGTGGGACTTTATGCACATATTTTTGTTATGATACATCCGTCTAGGTGGTTAGGATCTAATTTGTATACATTAACTTATGAAGCAGGTATTTTCGAATATTTTATACGTGATTGATATAATTTCTTTTAGTTCCTTTTTATTATACTGATAGGCAGATAATGTGGTTTGTCACAGTCGTAACATTTTACATTGATATATAGTTTGAGATAAAGGCGATATAAAGCTAGATATTATGTCACAAATAATCGTAAATATCTAAAAAACATCAGGTACGAACAGATTATCAATGATACGATTTTCAAGATTTGAAGAAATATGGTTATATAGTATGGCTATTGAGTCTTACATCCTCAAGATCGTGTTAAAAATATGGTCCAGACTCCCGATTTGTTTTCATAAATAGTAAGGGTAATTTTATATTATGTTCCGAATTTCGGCCTTAGTTCTTCAAACTATCAGTCAGTGTGACCTAATTTATAACAGCTTAACGTAAACTCGTCAAATGGATGCACATTGTGCCATATTTAACATTAATTATAAAGTACTAATTTGGCCATTGCACTTGAATTCCTACACCTGAGTTGCGAGTTCGATTTCAATTCTACCTATTGGATTTTAGGCAGCCTGTAGGAACATTAGACTGACTAAAAGTGTCGTTGGAAATTAAGTATGCAGACTTGGAATTAAAGACTGAGTTACATTATTATTACTGTAACGATCCTGGGACTAAACATTACCAGATTCCTCAATCAATGCATAGTTTGGATTTGAAAGTCACTAGTTTGAAGTCGGACCATCATATTATTAACTATCACTACCCGTCTATGCATCATATGGTGTCTGCCGAAGTTGAATCTTTAATATATTACATATTAAGCAACGTTACTGTGTGGTCAGGCAGTTCAGTGTTACTGAAGTAAATTCAGACTTAATTGAGTTGAAATAGTTGTACTTATTTTTATTTTTCTTCTACAGTATATATTTTCTCACTTATCCTCTGTAAATTTAGCATATAAAATGGTTATCATTCATACTACAGTTCACATTGGGGAATCTGCATTAAATACAACTATCAGTATCACTACCAAACACGGAAAAGCAATTTTGTGATTATAGGTTGGATGATTTTTCATAACTTCTAACAGTACATTACAAGTTTACCACAATTAAATTCGTCCTTCGTTTAATTGGTAATTCTGAAAAAGTTCATGCGTACCAAAAAGCGTCGAATGCAGTCATTCATCCGGATCAATTTCGTTTCTCTAGAAAAGTTGTCATGTCTTAAGTTGATGTAATGATTTGTTTTCGCAATATACTAATGTGTACGCATTAGTTTCTAATATTCTGATAAATATTTTTCTTAGTAATAAATAACTGGTTTGTTTGTTTCTCATTATGACTTATTGCTTGTTTGTGTCTAAGGTTTTACAATGACGTCGTGCCCGTTTTTGCGTAAATTGTCTCCTACTGTGATTCAAAGAGATATTCAACAGTTGATCCAATTAATACCAAGATGTCCGTTTGCTAGGCGTTTGTTTGATGGAACTCCACTTTCCAGTCCTAGAATGTATTCAGATGTCGCTATGGAGCGTCAGTTAGATGAATCATCAGTTTGTAGTAAGCCCTTATATCGCCTATATTTCTATATTTTTACTTCTTGTGGCCAGACAGGTCTATTTTCTGGTTTTCCTCAAATGAAAACTGTGGAAAATCCACAGAAATACATGTATTATCCAGTGGCAGTCAATTCAATCCTTCACTTTAACGTAGTTGTAAGGTTTGTGGCCAGAATTTTTATGCATATTATCCAAACTCGTTTTATTGTCCTAGTTTTAACCTAGCTGTCTTAATAAAGATGAAACGGAATATTTGTAAGACAAATATTTAAATGTCTTCGCCTAAGTATTCCATGAACTAAAATGCGTTTTTGCTAACTTTAAAGACTTAGATTTAATTGTTTTGGAATAAAGCATTATCTTAAAGTATACGAAGTAAAATAAGCTGATGTATATAATTTGTAAAATTCCCCCAGAAATGTGATGCGAATCGCACAACAGAACATTCAATGAATAAATACTGGAAAGCATATTTCTATAGTTTTTCATATTCACAAGGAGCGAACGAGAAGGCTGGCAGCACTGTTTCCAACCAATTTGGTATAAAACTCTTAGTCTTAAATTAATATCTGAAGTTACTATAGCCCTCGTGTATATCAAGTGAAACTACTCGGAGATAGGAACCATTTAATCTACGTGAATTCGTTAAGTTTCTTCCAGTTTGTAGTGACTTATATATGATGGTGGTATAGTTGTTAATTCGTTTGACTTATAACCCTTAGGCTGAGGTTTGAACCCCACACGACCTTTTTATCTCTCCTCATCTTAGTGTTGTTTTCAAATCTCTTACTGTTTGACTCAAATTCGATATGTAAACCTGTAACTATTGGATTTACATTACGACATATAATGTCCAAATAGGAGTTCAGCGTGAAACCATTTATTGAATAGATTTATCATAGCTTATGATTACTGGATTCAAATAAGAATAACATAAATACACATCTTCAAATACCGCTATCTGATCCCGTTTCACAATAAATAACATATTTACTTTATGAACCAAGTTCATTTGAACACAATTTGATAGTTGTCTTCACGATCCTACATTTATTAATGTTAATTTCGATTATTTCCCAGAAGTTCAAATCAGACAATCGAGAGAAATATTGGAGTTATTTAATTCCAGTCGTTGAAATTTCATACAGATGTGATTGGGTCTTATATATTTTCTGTATAATCACGACTATTCAAGAACTATTCGTTTAAGTTTTGACGAAATGTTTAAGAGCTAAATTCTTATTTTTGGTATGGATAGTTCTGTCTGAACCTGACATTTAATGTTCAGTCAACAAAATTAACACATTTATTTGGTCCTCGTTATTGATTGTCAGCTTTGCATGTTACCCTTTCTATAAATATTTTTTCCATCTAGTTTGTTATCGAATTAATCCTGTATTTTAGAGAATGTCTCAGAGTGCTTATTGAAAAAATGTCCTTTTACGGTCAATTCATATGAGTCAACATGTTCAAATGATTATCTGTGCGCTCAAACCTCTAACAATCACGAAAACGAGATGTATCAAAACCAGTTATGTGGGATTTCTGATGGTAAGTTGAATGATTATTTGGAAGATATAAATATATTGCAGAAAGTATATCAATTACTTAAAAATTGTTTTTATATTAAAATACATAAAGAACGAATACACTTCGTGTTAAATTCTCATTAATTTCTGTCATGAGCTCACCTTGTTTGCAGGGTTCGCTGTGCATACTTTTCTATATACAAATTACTATTTCAGAATTGTGAATAAGGTAACCTAGTAGTTCTACGTGTTATCTATAGTACGATGTTATTTCTTGATGAACACCAGCTTTGTATTTTACAGTTTACATCACATCGTAAACTTGGTTAAACAACTTATAAAAGAGCAGAAAGAAGTGGACGGCCTTTTTGTCCTAGTATGGGATTCCTCAGCAGTAGGTATCCACGGCCCAATCAGAGGTTGAACTTAAGACCTTTAGATCTCACAGCAAATAGCTAACCTTTAGACCACTGATTCAGTGTTTTGTTCGTACTAAGTTGTGAAAAAAACTATTCATTACAATGTTAGTATCTAAAAGCGTTCTTTTTTGATTATATTTTTTATCTATTCTTTTTGTAGACATATGTATTCCAAACACGTGTGCCTTATTCGCTGGTTGGCAAAAGAGTATAGTTGCGAGAAAAAGTCTTCAGCCAACAACAGACATAACGATAAAGAACGCTGGTCCAGAACATTCCCAAACAATCGATTCGGTGCGTAATGATGGTGATAGCTGCCTAGGTTTCAATTATAATAAGTTTTTCTTGTCTGAAGTAGAAAGAAAAAAAAGAGATTCTACTTATCGAGTATTTAGGAGAATTTTAAGAGACGCATCTGAATTTCCGTTTGCAGATGATTATTCTAGTGGTATGAAACGTCGTGTAGCTGTCTGGTGTTCCAACGATTATTTGGGAATGAGTTGGCATCCTAAAGTTCAAGAAGCTGCCATGTAAGTGTTGCTTTTTTATTCCCTTCAGTTATTTGTGATTGTTATGAACTTTTAGTGGACAAATCACATTGACATAACCTTATCAATGCTGACACCAATATGGCGAACAGATGTTAGGTATGTTACTTAGAGGCTATAATGTTTGGGTGGTGACTTACAAAAGATCTTTATCTTGTCTTCTCGTTCACTACGATAGTACCTGTTCGTTTAAAGACTGTGGTATAAATGTGAGTATTATTACTATTATTATTATTAGCAGTAGTAGTAGTCAGCAAATCGCCAAAATTCTGCAACTACATAATAATTGGTACTCAGTCTTAGTTAAACACATACTTTTTCCTTTCATATTAAACACAGATTAACGTTGGATTATTTGTAAAAGAAAATCCAACTTCATTTCGATGACAACTATATTATGTTCAAACAGTGTAGTGTCACAATTAAGTATATTAGAAATATGTACTATATGGTGTGTGCTATAATATGCATTCTGATCAATATAATCTCACAATTCATGAAGACACTTTTATCTAAAAAATAAAAGGTCAGGCTATACAAGTGGAGACGTGAATAACAAGGATAATAAGGTAAAGCGTGAATCAAAGCCCATTGAAAATCCAATTAAAATTAATATTTTAATGTAATATCCATAGTGCTATGATTTTTTTTCCATCAATTCTTGTTTTTCACGTGTTTCCACTTGTATACTCTGACCTTTCATTTCTGAATTACGTATATCATCATGTACAAAAAAGTTATCACTTAGAACAAACACGACGAAGTATACTAATAAATTAATGTTAGATCAAACTGTTCAAGAGAAATGGTGGTGTGGCGTGAAATTCTTACCGTCATTAATGAAATCGAAAGTTTATTTTTTGTTTAATTTGGTGTTTATTTCTCAACCTCTACACTATCATGAAAATTGAACCAAATAAGATGACCTGGTAGATGAAATTTCAGAAATCAACTAAATTGTAAGGGTAGTTTCATTCAATTAAAGCACAACAGTTCTGCAAATCAAATAATTTTAGTATTCAATGAATAATTGTAAAATTCTGTTTAACAAGAGTATGTTATTGCTTGTAAGTGTAGTAATGAATTAAAAACTTATAGAATAATTGATGAAACTCATAGTTCAATTAAATTAATTTAAGATGTGTAGTGGGATAAGTTATATATCACTATATTAATCTCTTTTATAAAAACTGCTTGCTATACAAATTAATAAGATGAATTACCTGATATGTGGGATTGCATTATAATATATCAGAATTGTGAAGAATTTTGTTTGAGGCTCATGAACGATGCTAAATTCGTTCCGGATATTCTATTCTCATGGTTCCCATGAGTGAAATAGAATTCGACAGAATGTTCTAGTTATAACGATATAAAGTATAACCGATCTACCCAATGACCTATGCGACTGCGCTTATAAATGATATGATTTATTTTCGGTCGTCTTATTATACTGAGCACAACTACTGTTTAAGGTAAATCTGATTTTGTATTCTCCACTCGTTACATTTACTCACTAAAATCATATGAACAACCAACAGTCACTTCACTTATTTACACAGTTTCATTGTCTGATCTGCCTGATTGAGTCTTCTACAATACTTTTACCGTGGTACATCATTCCAATTGATCTCTCGATAAGTACCCTATTATCTAGACTTTCCGTTTGTCTATACATTTATTGCATTTCTCCCTTATAGTTAGTAGAAAAATACGATAGATCAATCTAAGTTAAAACATTACATATATTAGAATTGTTTTTTTTTAAGAGTAAAGGGTGTAATTTATCTTATAGGATTTTATATTACTCACATATGTAGGTATGGAGGAAGTAATAAACTACAAATGAATTTCTTGAATAAGTCCTTGTACTGTCGCACACGGTCTTAACAGAGATATGGTCAAAACAGGTATATAAACATAGTCAATAAATATAATTTTGTTTCTAAAATGTAAGTTAATAAAATGAAGATCATGAAGTGACCAATGTTAGGCCACCATTAAAAACCTGGAAGCACTGGACGAGCGTCTAGTCCTAGTATGGGACTCCTCATCAGGGCGTATCCACAACCCCTCACGCGGGATCCGAACCCAGGACTTTCGGTTTGGCGGGAGAACGCAATTTTATACTGATGATTACCATGTGCTCACTAGTCACTAGCTTCGAGAGGTAATTTTCAGAGTTCTAGTAAGAAGCCTTAACCAGTGGAACTAATCTGTATTGGTGTAAGGCAGTTACTCACCGAAGACAGTAAAAAATGGTCGTGCAATATTTTGGATTCGTTCGAATTAGACATTAACATTGTTGAATGCCGGCTCAGTTATCTGGAGTTCAAGCGTCCGCGCGCGAGACTGAAAGCCCTGGATTCGAATCCCTTGTTAGGGATCGTGCTGCTAAAGAATCCCATACTAGGATGAAACAGTCTTCTAGTCTCTCCAGGTTTTCGATGGTGGTTTAACATTGATCGGTTCATGATCTCAAGTAAAACTCAACAATCTCCACAACCCTATACAGATAATACAATTAGTGCACACACATACTGAGTAATATCAGTGAAACAACAAAATGAATGAATAACAAGGATTAGTCATGTTTATATGACTGGGGCAATTTCATAATTGTTTTCTTGATTTAATCACCCATATAACAATGAATTTTTCTAAAAAACATTTTTTAGTTCTACCATACGTAAACATGGTGTTGGTTCAGGTGGAACACGTAATATATCTGGTAACTCATTGTTACATGAATCATTAGAAGCTGAATTGTCAGACCTTCATGGAAAACCTGCAGCTTTAGTATTTACAAGTTGTTACGTAGCTAATGAAGCTGTATTGCATACTTTAGGAACTCGTATACCGGAATTAACAATAATCTCTGATGCTGGTAATCATGCATCAATGATACATGGGATTCGAACTAGTCGTTGTCCAAAAATTATCTATAGACATAATGATGTGAAACACTTAACTTCGTTACTTGCAAATATACCTAAGGATTCGCCGAAACTAATTGCTTTTGAAACAGTCCATTCAATGTCAGGTAACTATGTTGATCTCTTATATATTTAACATTGAAAAAGTTTTTATAATTGTCACTTCTGTTAGTTTTCCGTTCATAGGTTTAAATGATAATAGTGTACTAATCTTTTTGACATTCCGTTTTAAAATCAGCGAAAAAAAAGAATAAATTTAAAACAATATATTCTACTTATCATGTACTCACTATTTAAAATATCTTAAATAAGGAGTTTACTTTGTATAATATGGTCTTAAACACATGTATCCTGAAGACTTTAATAATTACTGATCAATATAGACTGGTTACAAAATATTCACTGAAGAAACTTTGGCAATCAATAAGTTTTTTTTTCACACTCTGATTATCCTGTAATAGTAGACTACACATAAAATTATTAAAAATGCCTACATTTTAATCAACTTATGTTCCTGTAAATGGTCTAATAATGTTTTAGTAATAGGCGTGATGACTATCGGACACAAAAGAAAAAGATTTCGTAGAGTAGTATATCATTTCCAAGCTTCCATACGTCACACGCTTGACGTAAGTTATTTATCAGGTACAACGTCGCGTACTCAGTTTGAGATGAACTGTTTATACCAAGAGGATCAATGGTATTACTACCAGACTTCTCAAACCAGTGTTGATGCCGCGCAGGGTTTCGATATATAGACTGCTGTTTGAAAGTTTAAGCCTTTGACCAACAAGCCTACCATTTAATGGATTGAAATAGGAAAATTATTTTAATAAGGTCAATAAGAATAAAGTAGGAAAATGGAAAACATTTGACACGGAAATTAATATTCTTAGATAAATAGGTGTCTGTCACTCATAGTAAGTTAAAGAATAGTGATGTGTTACTGGTGGGTTTTAAGGTAAAACATGTAAAGTTCCTAATCTGACTAAAAGCGAGTCATGAAGTCGAACTAATAAATTCACAGTCCTCTCATGCGGCTCACACTACTAATAAAAATTTCAGGGATTCATTTTTAGCCAAACACATTTAAATTTTATTCACACTAGTCCTACAGTTATATCCTGTTGAGGTAATTGATAGATGGAAATGTACATATTGCATTTAACTCGGTCAATCAAGATTCACTATAATACTAACCCAATGTCTTTCTTATCTAATACTTCACGTTTTTAGCATTCACAGCGAACATCCGGCTTTGAGTGTTGTAAAGCATTGTCTCCTGGAGTGTCATCCCAGATAGTATGTACGAATTTTTAAATAAATCACTTCCTAGTGTACTCGCAAGTAATGGTATCTGGCATTCCTGCAAACTGCTTAAGTTTCTTGAGTTTTATTCGAATATCTGATGCTACCAGCAGAATTATAGCCTCACTGGTAAATTTCAGTTTTGGTCTTGACTTCAAGAAACAATAACTATCGCTCATTAGAATTTCCAGAAGAGAGTGCTGGTCACTTATAACAGCTTCACTGATAATACATTTCAGTAAGACTTACAACGCAGTTATTTACGATAGTAGTTATTCTTCTCAGTGGACCTCCCTATCTTAGTATGGATTGATTGGTCACATTCTATAGTTATTATTATCCATCTCTTTGTACGATAAGCAGTTTGTGGTCAAAAATGGTCAATATCGTAGCTGGAGCACAACGTAGTGGCTAAATCTCACTTACTAATAATCACTCAACTAAAATCTATACTAAATACTGTCTGAAAACTGATTCATGTAAAAGTAGTGTATATTTCGTTTAAGCCATATTTTGTTTTAGAACCTATCTATCCTTTCTTATACCACACGATCTCTTACCGTTTCAATTAAATATTATCATTGATTTCACTGTTATTTAACATTTATCGAGCGAATTTTCATTCACCTACAAACTGTTATATTTAAAAGCTATTTATTTTTATAATCATAGGTGATGTTTGCCCATTGAAGAATTTATTAGATGTTGCTGAAGCTAATAAAGCACTATCATTTGTTGATGAAGTTCACGCTGTTGGTTTATACGGTGCACATGGAGCTGGAGTTGCTGAACGTGATGGTCAGATGCATAGGATAGATGCAATTACGGGTACACTTGGAAAGGTTTGCTAATTATATTAAACAGTTATTTGTACTTTTCACACACCTTTAGTTTAAACAATCTTGTTAAATTTATACTCAAGCATTAAACTTGCACTGAGAGATTTTAGAAAAAGGTGGTAGATCAAATTTCGCAGTGCACATCATCTGATATGTATGAGATGCACGTACGTACTATCCATGAATTGAGATTCATGTTAATTGTATAGTAACACTGCGTAAATCATGAAAAGTCTTACGTCATTGGTAACTAGTTTGATAGTTCACAAACTAATTTTTTATCATTTACTACTTGTATTGTAGTTTGTTCACGTACGAAATGACCATCTTTTCGTTTCATGTTGAATTCACATGACCATCATTGACAGCAAAAATACATGACAATAAATCAAAAGGTTAACCGGTTATGACACTATCGCTTGCTAAATCTTATCATTTTACATAATAATACGTTCACCATAAAATGTTTCCAAACCAAATATCACTTTCCTGATCAATGTTATGTGTAATTTTATGATTATCGCTAATTTTATTGTCTATTTTCATATTCGCAGGCTTTTGCTAGTATCGGAGGCTATTTAGCAGGAAGTTCTGAACTAGTTGATATGATCCGATCTTATGCTTCTGGATTTATATTTACTACTTCACTACCACCACATTCCTTGGCTGCTGCACAAACAAGTATTCAAATTTTGAAATCTTCTGAAGGAAAAGAACTTCGTGCAGAACACCAAAAACGAGTATCTATCGTACGCCAAAGTCTCCGTCAAGCAGGATTGCCTGTGATTGAAGCGCCGTCACATATTATTCCGCTACATGTAAGTTTATATTTTTCTAATTTGATAATTTTTATGTTTCATTAATACTTTGATCTGACTAACAAAGCTCGTGTGTGAGAACTAATCTATTAAGTGCAAGTAGGTAATTACATAACAATTAGGCGAATCCATTTGTAATAGCCTATGCTAATTAACTAATTTACTTACCGATTCGAATAGGAATTTAAACTAGTGAGTTTCAACTCATTGGTTTAGGCACTTGAATTTATCCAATAGGTAATAGCTTCAATTCAAAGTAGTTTTGACCATCAGTTAATCTGCAGTACTGGAAGAAATACAAAATCATTGAATAATGCCTAGCACGCTGTTGTGTCATTAAATTTGTTCTAGGAATAAAAGAACTTTCTAACCCATCAGTTGATGATTGATTTAAATGAATATAAATTTGATAATGATCTGTTAGTGTTTCACATTTTCATTTATAGAAATATGTATACAATTCTAATTATTTGATTTTTACACTATTATAAGTGTTTTATAATTTATCTGTATTAACAGGTCGGTGAAGCGAAACTATGTACGAAAATATCAGAAGAACTGTTATCCGAACATAATATATATGTGCAATCGATAAATTACCCAACTGTAGACATAGGAGATGAACGTTTGCGTATTGCACCCACACCGCATCATACAGATAAACTAACTGAAGAACTAGTGGATTCTTTATGTATGGTATGGAAAAAATACAATTTACCTTTAAATGTTGAATCAGCAAGAAAAATCACCCGACAAGCTGGTTAACATTGAAGATAAACAAATTATTATTATTATTTGATTGTTAGTTTAAAGTAGGTGATCAAACACAAATTCGATTGTTTAGTTTTATTTATTTCTTCACCAGTCATTTTCAGTCATGTAAAAGAATGTCTACTTAATTTGAATAAAACGTTAGTTTAACAATTAACAATGCTTTATTTCTCTTTTTAAACAATTAATAATAAAACAGTGTGGTTTGTACAAAATAAAGCAGTCTGTCCAATGTTATGGTTACAATAATTTCAGTCTGATATAGGACGTTTATACCAAAATCTTGCACGATTATCATCACTACAGGACATAAATGCCGCTGTTGTTGGTGAATGTACAAAACATCGGATCGGCCCGTTATGATCTAGTACAGAGAAAAAATTAGGTAAAAGCATCCAACCAATATAGTACAAGGTAGTTAATGATAAATATAATAGCGTGAATGAACTAGGTTTTATGTAAATAAACTACTGTGTATCACCGTAGTCTGTTTGATATACAATAGTGAGAGGAGGTTAGAATGATTTTCCCGTCGCTTTAAAATAAATCTTAAGCTGTAAAAGAAAATTAATTGTAAACTGATAAGCAGTTTACGTAATGATTCGTTCATAATGAATAAACTTTTACATTACTTATAAATTCGTAGATTTTCTAAATTTTAATAAAAAACTGTATTGTCACTGTGTATAAACTTACTAAGGGCTAATAAACGCTGTCTGTCAGCATTACGTGAATCCCAACAACACAGGCTTTTTGTTGCTTCGTCTGGGAATAGTACTATACAGAGAAAAACAATAAATATAATTGTATGCTTGAATTAATGTTAAAATAAGTGCGATAATAGTCACATTAAAAAATACGACTTTTCTAAGTACGGTTACAAGTAGGCATTGATGAAATAATTTCAAATGACCTATTTCTCCTACAAAGTTCTAACTGATTTCTTTTTAAATTTACCTGCGAATATCAAACGTGGTTATTAAAAGCGGAAGACATTCAAGACACTCGATGTTTTCGAAGCATTTCGTACATATGATGAAATCGCTTTGTAAATATCACTCTTACGCATTGAATACCACTACTAAGAGTAGAATATTATTGAAGTAGACGTCGGTCGGGAAATGTCTCTCGGACGATTAATTAAAGTCCATGATTTTAATCCCTTGATAACTTCTAACAAGTAGGTCGGAAAACACAGTAGATGTGGTATTTTGCAACGGAAACTAACTAATAGGAATTTGTTAGTTACATAGCACTAACATATTACGAAAGTCACGGTAGTAATTGTTGTCGTGTAAACCTCAAATCTTTTACAGGCAGATGGAGTATCTCTACTTCACCACTAATTTTATGGTATCTAATTTCTCTCATGACTCATCTTTGGTATTCGGGATGAGTATAATGTAAACTTATGTGTTATCCACTGGTATTTTCCATCGTAACAATGCAACGGTCAGTTGTAGTTAACGTAGGATATGGCACAAGTGTCTCGGTTCAAGCTGGCACATCAGCGCAGAAAAAAAGAGGATTAATAACATCAAAAGCGTTGAAAGTTAAATAATATCAAAAACAAATGAAAGCCAAACATGAAAACTACAACGTGTATTAATCGATCAACTTACCATAATCTTCTGTGTGATTAAAGACAGCCATTGATCTGTGTGTTTGATGTCCTACTGTACCTGCTCCAGTGTAGGTTATAAGACATCGTCCAGTGGCTAATTCCCATAGTTTAACTGCACTGTCTTTACCGGAACTAAGGATATACTAAAAATGGAAATATGCACACTGTAAATTTTTTATTACAAATGATACAATTATATCACAATGAGTATTGTTTTCAACTTGGAAAGCCTCTAAAACTGAGATAGAACCGGCCAGTGTAGGGAAGACTACAAGATAAAACTAACGATTTTATACTTGCTATGAATTTTGATAAGTTTTCCGACAGTCAACCTTAATTCAGCAGTGTAGCTAGGTTGATTCAGTGTTTTGTGTCACCACTACAAGCAACATACTATCTTGGGTTACAACATCAAAATACTTATTTGTGCTATATAAAGAATCTCATAAAATCAATTTGCGGGAATTTTATCTAGGATTAAGTAAGTCAAATGCAACGTAGAACCTGGCACATACATACATTGCTTCACGTTGACACAACACATTAGCACAGAGATGAAGTCGTCAGGGCAAATCTCAGAGTAATAGAGATAGTAACAGTATTGGTGGTGATGGGAAAGCTCAAGCATTGAGGATACGATTTGGTAAAAATAAAAACTGGCGAAATAATAAACAAAAAGAACTTATGAGGGATTAAGAAACTTAGGATCTAACGGAAGGCTAATAGTGGGTATACTTGTACCGTTACGAACGACTTTGTGCTATGATATTGAAAGTCTCTAACCATTTGGTTGTAATAATCACACGGATATCAACTAGGTAGTCTACACCTGCCTACATGTCCTAAGATTGATAAAATGTACTGTGTATTATAGGGATGGTCAGTAGTTAAGCACATTTTAAAGCTTCTGGAAAACTCGATTTGTTACTTGTTTAGTAAACTTCAAAAAAAAAGTTGGAAACGCTGATGTACAATTTGCCCTAAGAGAAATACCTAAAAATCGTAACTACCGTTTTTATTAGCGTGTTGTTAAAAGTATGGATAACTCAAACGAACTCGTAACCTTATACTCGACATAGAAGCAATACTAGGATGCGTAAGTACTTTAAAGAAATGCGAAACTTTAAATAACGATTCAACATTTTGAATGACACAGAAAACGAATTAATGATAAGGGTTCTAGACTCTAAAGTAAATGCATTTCTCTTAGGTGTATGACTGACTACCAATTCTCATTCATTATTAATTTGAATGAAGTGTTGATCACTTTGTAAAAATCCCAAGCATTTACAAAAACCCAATTGTTCAAGCAAAAGAATTGCACATACTGACACTTCTGATGAGTATTTTCGAATTATACTAAGTTAAATGTATGGTACCATATTTACATGTGGCATTTCCCACCAATGCTACGGGTGGTTCATTTACTGAGATTGGAATATAAGGTAGATTGGACTATTTGGTTCACATAAACCAACAAATAATCGATAGAATCTATTTGATAAGAATCGTATTTAGTGACTAATGGATCGATCACTCAACAAATTAAGGAGTATTGATGATATTATTCACTACATTATGCACAAGGTATCTCTGCGAAATAAACTGTAATATTGTCCCAAAATGATATTCAAATATAGATATAAAGGGAAGCATATTCAAACTTTTTGACATACTTTTCCATTACGTGAAAAAACTACAGAACACACAGGTGCACCATCATGTGCAGCTTCAAATGTGTTAACACATCTACATGAAACTCCATCCCAAATCTTGAAGCTGCCATCCATCCCAGCAGTAACAAAAGCAGTTCCATTCGGTGACCACCGAACCATGTTAACTGCACTAAGATGTTGGTCTTCTGGAACGGCGGATACATAGCAACGACAGGTTTGTACATCATATAAACGAACTATAATAGGGAAAATGTAGTTATAAAAGATGAAATATAGCAGTCATGCATTATTCAGAACAATAAAAAGAAACACCCTTCAGTCTGAGTGCTTTGATATAGATCCCAGGAGCAAATACTGTGGCTGAAAAAAAAGAATGGACATCAGAAAGCCCTCCTCACGGTTTTTTTGTATTCTGATGAGATACGAGAAATCGATTATGTGTAATAACTAACATCATGTTTGATAGATCTCCTAATCAGTTTCTCTAAAATACATAAATAGAAAATTTGCTTGGAACTTTTTAATTTTTCCCAAATAATATCAAAAGTTCGACTGGCTTACATAACTAACCAGTCGATTTTGTTACTATCTTCTGATAAATCTATTTTCACGTTCTTAAGGAAAAATATCTCTTACAAGCAGTTTGAGAAGACTGCTTAGTTTATAAATTCATCTTGACTACCACCTTCACTTTAAACGAAAAGAATTATGAGAAGTTGTATTGATGATGTATACAGTAGATTGCCCATTAAAGGATCATTGCACTCTAAACATACGACTGAGGTAAATATTTACAGATGTGTTTGAGTAATAAACTATGATTTAACAATCAAAGCAAATATGATTTAGGCCGTTGGGTAACAGAATTTATCAATGATAAATGTCAACTAGGATTAAATGAGCACACTGAAGAACCAGACATGTGTAAATTGAATATTGAAAATGTTAGATGATAGTTACTTATGAATTTCATTGGGAATATTAAAATCACTGTAACACTTAGAAGTCACTATTAAATTTTTTTAAAAATTTGTACGAAAAGGCTTACGTGTTTTATGCTGAGTGCCAACAAGTAAAAAGTTACCAGATGGATGAAAATGTAAAGTTCGTATTGGGGAAGCTTCCTAAAGAAACAAAAAAAGAGAACAATTAATTATTAGAAAATATTGACAAAATGCCAAATTAACAAACATATAATGAAATGAAAAATTCCAAATCGATTTATCTATATGTGGTAATATTATTTGTACTTAAGAAAAACAAAGATAAATAAATAAAATATTCATAATATACGCAAAGGAAACGATTTCCAAGGAAAACATGTTACTGAATAAACAGTTTTCTTGTTTCATTGATCAATAAGTCTTCAAGAGAAATTATTAGAGATATTCATTTCTTAACAATTTCATACTGTGATTAGGTTATTTTTAGAAAAAAAAATACATGCAATAACATTTACACAAAGATACAGGGAATAGATGATATGGATACAATCAATTATTATGAAACACATGATTAGTTAATTTCTAATTATATTCTAAATGTTTCTAACCATTATAGTCAACTTTGTAAAAAAGATCAAAAATTAACTGATCTTAAATATGGTACTGGGTTCGAGTCCCTGGGTGGACGTCAACTCTGAGATGCAGGTACGTCCAGCTGACGAGTCCCAAATAGGACGAAAGGCACGTCCTGGATTCCACTGCTAGCCACTATCCATCATTGCTTACAAAAAGGCCTATATTTTATTTCAATCAATTATTTAATTTCCTAACTAAAATTTATGATTACTAAGATGGTAAATTTAAAAGTGAATAACACATTTTTACATTCCAAAATAATGTTTTATAGTTTTGATAAAGAATATTGTGATGGGAACAATTTTTAAAGATTGTTTTCATTACCTTAGTCAATAAATATATAAAGTGAAATGATAGTATGTAATAGAGGATAAAACATCTATCTAGCCACGAGATGAAAACTATTCAACCATAATATGCTTGTATCAATCTAACAGTTCACTTAACTTTAAAATTCAAGTAATATTGTCCCGACACTCATTACAATCGTTAAAGTAACATTTTAAGATTGCAGTGATAACGGATTGTAAAAACAGAAGTGAATTTTGAATGGATAAAGACAGGATGTAAATGAAAACAATCTAGTCTAATTTAGTGATTAAAACACTTGACTTCCAAGCCTTAATCAGTAGAAAAAAAGGAACAGATCAACAGAAATCTAATCAAAGAAAGATATCTTTAAAATTATTTCATAACTGATTAAGAAATAAGACTAGAGAACAACTTATACGAGGTTCCATGACGAGTTGTGTTTTCACTACACCACTCAATAATTTGTAATATAACTGTCAAACAAAAGGAAGTTGAAAGTTTCCAGTTCACAGAGTAGTACATAGTACAGGTTAGTTAACAACAAAACATAACAAATGTGGCCATTTTTAAGCAAAAGAACATTGTCAGAGTAACATAGTAATATTCCACTTCAGATTTGACAACACAATGTCAGGGTTAAGACTGCTTAGTTTGTTCCTTAGAAGTAGGATTTAGAACTGTAATAAATTAACAGCATAAATCATAACTTCCTAATGGTTTTCAGTCATCCAGCATTAAATAAATTACAATACAGTATCAAGTCATTAAAGTTAGTGGTTATATGTTAAATTTGACCGACCACTTGCGAGGATTTATATATAATAGGTGTATTATAGTGAAACAATATAATTGATTAAATTAGTGAAATAACCAACTGGATACATTATTCATTGAATCTACTGAATAGATTTCAATAAACAGACTAGCTAGATGTACGAAACAATTAAGACTATCATTCACGTAAAACAGTATGAATAACATTAAAACAACTGTAGTTTAACTGTATCATACACACCCACCCACTCATGATGAAAGTTTCCACATCTTTCCCCCTTTGTACTGTTTAAACCTGTCGTCAAATAATGGTAATAATCATAAAAATATTATGATCGCTTATTATTGTTGTTTCAGAGTGGATATAAAAAGCCAATAATTTATGCAGTGTTTGTCATTTTAAAAACACCGAGTTCCAGTAGTCATACTGCCGCTCAGTTTAAACCAAACAGAAAGGCATTTAGGTGGATATTTTAGTATTCCGACACAGCGAACAGATAATGGTGATCGTCTGCTGCAGCTATGCTCAGACAATCGTTTATTTTTAGCAAACACAAATTTTAAGCATAAGGAGAGACATCGTCTAACATGGCGACCCCCTACACCAAACCAACGATGGACTCAAATAGACCATATTGCCATCAGTCATCGTTGGAGAGGGTCGGTAGAAGATTGTCGTTCATTCTGGAGCACCTGCTTGGACTCCGACCATGCCCTAATACGGGCACGCATCTGCTTGCGCCTCACTGGACGCAAAAAAGCCACATTAAAAAGACCCATTAGAACTGAGTTGAGTAACGAGAAAACCAAAAGTAGGTTCCAGGAACAACTGAGGTCACACTTAGTAGTTGTGAAGACGAGGCTGACCCAGATGTTGCTTGGAAGGACATACAAGCAGCTGTGGAAACAGCAGTGACATCTATTAGTGACTTAAACCACAGAGTTACAAGGAACCAGTGGATTTCTTCAAGGTCTGTCACACTGATGGATTCTCGCAAACTCGTCCCATCAGGTTCTGAACATGATGAAGAGCGTAAACAAATCAGATCTAGGTTAAGAAAAAGTCTAAGGAACGACCGTGAGCAGTGGTGGGCAACGAAAGCAAAAGAGATGGAAAAGGCGGCGACTATAGGGAACACAAGACAGCTTTACAGACTAATAAAAGAAACTGGAACTAATAAGTCAAGTGTAAGTGAGATTATTTCGGAAAAAGATGATACTCTCATCTGCTCCCAGTCCAGACGTTTAGAACGATGGGCGGAACATTTTAGAGAACAGTTCAGCTGGCCTTCAGCTACTCTACAACTACCCTCCATTCCCAGACAAGTGAATGGAACATTGAAGTAGGTCCCCCAACTCTTGCTGAAGTTGAGAAGGCTATAGTTAATCTGAAACGAGGAAGGGCAGCTGGTCCAGATGGACTGGCTCCAGAAGTCTTTAAGGATGGTGGTCCAATTTTAGCGACTAGGTTGACTAATATTTTAGCTAAAATCTGGGAGTTAGACGTTATCCCATCTGACTGGTCGCAATCACTTATCGTCCCAATATATAAGAAAGGGTCAAAATCATCCTGTGACAACCACAGAGGGATTAGTTTAACAAACATAGTATCTAAAATACTGGCCTCGATAATTATCAAACGCCTAACTAAGACTCGTGAACTACAAACACGAGAGAACCAAGCTGGCTTTAGACCTGGTCGTGGCTGCATCGACCACATATTCACCATTCGTCAGGTTCTAGAACACAGGCATACCTATCGGCGTCCGACGATGGTGGTCTTTCTTGACTTAAAAGCAGCATTTGACTCTGTAGACCGCGAGACTCTGTGGCAGTGTCTGTCATTGAAAGGCGTACCTCAGAAGTACATAAACCTTGTGAAGGCTCTTTACTCGAACACTACTAGTCGAGTCAGGGCTTATGGCGAACTGTCATCTACTTTGCAACCTCAAGTGGTGTCCGTCAAGGCTGCCCACTTTCTCCATTTTTGTTTAACTTCATCATAGACCTATTGATGGAAATAACACTCTCGTCGACTGAATTCTCGGGTATTGATCTCCTTCCAGGAGGTCCACTTATCGACTTAGAATACGCAGATGACATAGTCCTGTTTGGTGAAGACGCTGACAAAATGCAGAGTCTTCTGGTAGCACTAAGCAACAATGCCAGAATGTTTGGGATGCGCTTCTCTCCCTCTAAATGCAAGTTGTTGCTTCAGGACTGGTCTGCGTCAACACCTGAACTAAGGATAGGGAGTGAAGTAGTCGAACGTGTTGACAACTTCACTTATCTTGGAAGTCTGATCAGCCCTAATGGGTTGGTGTCTGACGAAATCTCAGCACGGATTCGTAAAGCTCGTTTGGCTTTTGCCAACTTACGTCACCTTTGGCGGAGGCGAGATATCCGTCTATCAATAAAAGGACGAGTATACTGCGCGGCTGTCCGTTCTGTTTTAATTTACGGCAGCGAAACATGGCCCTTAAGAGTAGAAGACACCCGTAAGCTACTAGTATTTGACCACAGATGCCTTAGAAATATTGCTGGCATCTGCTGGGATCACCGGGTAAGTAATAGTGAGGTTAGACGCAGGGTATTAGGGAATGATGGTAAATCAGTTGATGAGGTTATGAATCTTCATCGACTGAGATGGTTGGGCCACGTATTACGTATGCCTGAACACCGATTACCGCGACGTGCAATGCTAACCGGTGTAGGGGATGGTTGGAAGAAAGTTAGGGGCGGCCAAACCAAAACGTGGCATCAGTGCCTGAAGTCACTAACTTCTAGTCTGAGCCATGTTGGTAGATGCAGACTACTTGGTTGGGGTCCGCGTGACTTTCGTAACCAATGGTTGGAGACCCTTGGTGACATGGCTCAGAATCGATCACAATGGCGTCGGTGTATACACTCTCTGTCTTCTCTTAAACTAAGAGATTAAGATCACTTCACATCTTTCTTTCTACGAACTAATTCTTTCTTCCTATACTATATCCTTATTGCAATCTTTCTCCTATATATTACCACCTTTGACCTAACCACTCCTATGAATCCAGTGTTCATCTTGCTGTGCTAATGAGGTATGGCAACCTGGGCCGATGCATACATGTGCCTGGTCCTACGTTGTAGCTGACTGACTGACTGACTGACTGCCGCTAGTTTAGATTCAAGTTGTTCGAACGTAATTACAGACAATCAGTTTATTACGTGAATATATATTTCTAAAATTATTTTTAAATACTTAAGTCATTATCAATGCCAATATCCTACATGTATATTAATAGTTCAATTAGTTTATATCATTACTTTGTAGATAATGAATAAAACACAATGAAGTTACGGACATAACATAACTATGAGTTGTTCAGACGACATCTATTGATATTCATGTATAATAGGAATTAAACAAATTACGCTGATAAATAAATAACAAACAGAAAAGTAATATTAAATGTATACACACATAAGCATGTATGAAGAAAATTGATTTTCAATTAGGCGATAGTTTATTTGGTTAGTTCATAAATAATGAAATCATTCAATAATAGATAACATATGATCTGGCACAAATGTGTTTTAATCTACGATGCCACATTTTATGACAGAGTAGTAAGAGAAGAAAATAATAAGATTAAACGCAAGTCAACCGAAATAATATCAATTACTATGAAAAACAATATTATATATATATATATATATATATATATATATATATATATATTAGTAATAGGAAGGGTTGTGGATTTTACAGTTGGTATCACGGACTAATTTTGTCTGGAAAACCATTGAAAACTATGAAGGACTCAAATTTTTTTCATTCCGGTATGGGATTCTAAGAAGTGTTCAACCATGACCCTAACAAGGAACTGACCTAAAACCTTTAGGTCTTGGTATGAGTGTTTAACTTTTAGACCGTTGAGCCAGCAACAAATAGTTTACATTTCTCAATTCAGTCAATATGGGATATTGCACAACCATCATCCTATCCCATTGGTAAGTAACTCCTTCACTTCCAACACAATTGAAAGCCACTGATCATAGTTTATCACTGAAACTCCAGAAAATAACTCTCGAAGCTAAACACTAGTGATCAGACGATTATTAATAGTATATGGTGTTTTAGAAGATTCAACGTTCCGGTTTGCATCACAAACTGGCTGTAGCTAGATACAAAATATGGTTGGAAAGGAGTGAATAAGATCAGGAAATTATGGAGTGACATTAAACTTAAGGTTTGGGAAAAGATAGATGACGAATACAACTTCACCACCATGACTGATTTTCATTTATATCATCCAACTTCTACAATCAAAGAGTCTACACCTTTTAACGTGGTTTGACCAAAAATTAATGATAATGTGATCTGGCAATATATCTTTGCTTGAGTACCTCCAGCGCTCCTCAACGTTATTCTTATGCTAGCCAGTATAGTGGCTCAGGGTAAATAGTGGTTGGGGATACTTAACATACCCTCAGCAATCTCATGAACCGATTTGTGATCCGTAACTAGTACCCAACGTCTAACCGATACATTGATCACTTGATTATTCTACAATCTGCGAACAACGCCCATAAGATATTTATGGTCAAATAGTACTTTAGCAGTTAAATATCGAGCAGGATGTGAGAGGAGTCGATTACTAAGTCTTTACTTGACAAGTTATTCGACTTAAACTCGGTAGGAATGAATTGGCACAAGCATCAGATATACTTCTAATTTCAAAAAGTTATAAATACGATCATAAGAATCACATGTTAGATTTAAATAATTGCCTTGGTGTGATTATGAGTTATAGATGATACGGAAGCTGGGAACAAGGTTCAACAAGATATAAAAATCATGAGTTCAACCCTAAAATATAACGAGTGTTTACTAATGTTAGATTTAAAACACATGCCGTTTACCATCGAGAATCCGATGATTTCCAAAGAACATAAGTTCGAGATGAAACAAAAATGAATTAGGTTATAAGAAATATACACATATCAATTTGTCGAAGCTACTTACCGGAATATTTCGTTGAGCTTTTTTAACAGATGGATTTGAAAAGTCAAACAGTTTGATTGTATAATCTTTACTTCCGCTAACAAGGATTTGCAGCGTTGGATCTGGATGGAAATCTACACATGTAACTTCCTACAAAAGTTTTCGTTAAAAATGGAGACGATTGGTAGTATGGTAAAACGAAAGTTGGTTAACTATGTTAATCCAAGAAAAAACATAAAATTTTACAGCAGCTTCATTAAGAACATGTTTGTGCATCCGTCTTTAGGGTAAAATTTAGTTGTGTGAGTGATAGTTGTATCAACAGATGGTTATCAGAATAAAATAAGGTGGAGTCGACTTCGAACCTGGAAAATTGTAGCTGAAATTCCATCAATTTAACCATTAAGCTACTACTTCTCAAAGAAGTAAAACAATTCTTGATACTGATTATCTGACTACATACAACCTTAATCTGTTCAGTTCGTGTGTCAGGGTAGCTGTGTTGGTGTTGGTAATGACGTGTCAGATGAGATGAACCTACGTAAAGTCAAAGCTAGAGCAGCTTAAGCCAACATAAACCGCATTTGGTGCCGTCATGTTATTCTGGCTGCAAAAGATCGGTTTTACAAAGCGTCGATGAGAGCACTTCTGCCCTATGCAGTTCATAATATTGGACGACTCTTTTTGTGTGATCCTCATTGTCCCTGAAGGATTGATGAATCAGTGGCAACAACATGTTAATATGGTTGTTAGGTAATGTTTGTTCGGGCACAGCGACAATAAATGACTTGGTGTCAACATTTTGAAACATTGGCTTCAGTTGATTGAATATGTGTTAGGAATGTCATCCTAGAGACCTACATATTGCGCATAATTTACTGATAGAAAAGCGATGAGGTGGCCAGTTTATTAAATGACCATAGGGTACGAAAGAAAGCTGTATAGGACTGACTTCTATCGGTCTATCATGATTTCCTGGTTGGGGTCCGAGAGGCAGTGCAACCTAGTGGGCTTTAGACCTTATCAAACATGACTCAAAATAGAAACCAATGACGATCTTGAGGCGATATCTTCATACCTTAATGTGGAGTCGTTAGGCGCACACAAACACTACGCACTATAATAATTTAAAACTAGAATGAAATATAAGTCCCGTAGGCTCATAAATGTTGTTATCAATGGTCCACCAGCTCATTTGTTAATCTGCATGACTCAAACTATCTTGTGAAAGAGCAATTGATAAAACTATAGCGAATAAGTAGGTTGAGGTTGAAGGTGTTGTAACTGGCACTTACAATCACTTTCCCATCCAGCGCTTGAGATCGGGGTGAAATTTTCGATAAGGATTTTTTTCCAAGTATCTGGAACTACCCAAAATTGTCTTTTTTGAACATGTCAGTATAGCGCAGCTCAACGGATTGATTCATTGTCTGCGGTTATCAACAACGCTTAAAGTGTTCGTTATGTTATGTACAGCACTTTCTGTCGTCTTTCCGTTCATTTATTACGATAGTGCTTCATGCTAGAGTGTGATTTTCATTGAAAAATACATTTCAAGCCGTAACTTTGACAATAATGTGCATGTCACCTAATATGTTGAGCTGCGCTATACTGACGAATTTCCGATGAAAATCACACTCTAATATGCAACACTTCCTTAATAAATGAACAGAAAGATGATTGAAAGTGCCGTACATAACACATTGAACATTTAAAGCGCTGCTGATAACCGCACATAATAAATCGATCAGTCATTGTCATGTAGAGTGGGGCAAAAATATGCATTGGCCCAATTTGTCATAACTTAAGCCAATAAGTAAAAGGCAAATAGAATATGAAATAAGATTTATCCAAAATCTAGTTTTAACACTATTAAAATTTTTCGAATGAAAAACAGGGCGTTTACAAAAGTACACAAACCACAAATTGAAATGCATTAGAAACATTATTAGTGTAAATACAAAAATAAAACAAACAAAAAATAGGAAACTTATTTAGATAATAATTAAGGAAAAAACAATTCGAGATAAATGGGATGGTTTTGAACTTGATTATATTCGCAAAATAGTTAAGAAGAGAGAAGAAACTCGTAAAACTTAGAAAAGAAGAATTGTACACTTAATTTTCAATAATAGGTTTCTAAGGAGTGAACAAAAATACTTATCTAAAATATACTCATGTTTTAATGTTACGTATGATTGTATTATTAAATATTTTATTGCTAAGTCCTATATAATTTATTCGTTTTGTAAGAAACTTCTAGATTCGATTCAATTACAACATTGAATACAGCTCTTTATTCTTAGCGTGTGTTATGCTAAAGAATGAAAGTTGCTATGATGATTTATTGAGAGACCTTAACGAAAACCACTTTAGACAGGCAGCGATTATGTGAAAGTACAAGTAGCTAAGTGAATAGTCCATTTAGCAAAGTTCATTTCACACATGTTTCGGTTCGTCTGGTAACATATAGAGATCTATGAATACTGACTCTTTACAAGAAAGCTTCCCATCAGTTTGATCTGAATCGTGGACAAATGCATAATCCATTTTAGTGACCGAGTCAGATTGGACAATACAGTATATGTATTCTATTTAGTGGCAACTACATAAAAAGACACACATAACTGTATTGTATTTCCACGAATTAACTATAAGCATTCATTCCCTAATCGAATAAATCTTACAGCTAGTACCTTGGATTTATATAAGAATTTGTTACAGACTGATAGGCATCATAAGAAAAGACTACTCGTCTACTGCACACAGGTCTACACACTGCTGGTGTATGCATAAAATGTAAACACACTGAATCATGCTTGCACAAAAACTATCGTACCAGTATTATTTATTTTATTTTATTTGAACATATAGATATTGGTACAAGAAGGCACCAAATACATATGCGCCACACAAATCTCATTTGATTTGTGTGAGAGCAGTGATACTGCCCGGTTGTCCAAACCGAAGCAGGATCGAACCAGTAAATGTAGTATGATTGACTATAAAGACCGATTTTATAGCCACAAGACACATAGAAAATTAAAAAACAAAGTGGAGAAATTCAAGGAACAAACTGATGGTGAAATCTGTGAGCATATCAACAGATGCCACTGCAGTATCCCATAGATACATTACAGCCTATGTCAACGGTTGGCCTTTAGCTATCTCTCAACTGCCCCTGAGATGCAGTCAAACATAGATCGATCGAATTCATGTGATAATTGCCTTCTTTATAGGTGAAATAATACTAGCCATCTATGATCAAGAGACCTCCGGATTCATATCATTTCGTGGGGAGGTTGTACGATGCCATAGGGAAGTCTGAATTGATTGGAGATAGAGTGACCCATAGACCGATTTCCTCCAGTTGCTTATCACATTTTATTATATTATATTTGTATTTATATTTTGTATATAAGTATGTCATCTTATTGAAAAAAGGAGCCTATTCCCTTGGCTAGTGTCGACTTTGATTTCAAATCATTGTGGAGCTCAAATCAATAATCTGATTCCCCGAGCAACCATCAATCAGTCATATCACATGACTGAGTTCATCCATCGACCAATACTTTCTTTTCTTTCATTTTAACAATCGAAAATTCGCTTCATGAAACCAAAAAATTCTACTTAATAGTATATATGTACTTAAATGAATTTGAGAGCACATCTTCAAACATAACTAAAGATTTCTACTCACAAATAGATTCTGTGCACTTGACTAAGCCATCTCCACATACAAATACATTTAGACCTAGCCGGATAACATATCTTTCCTATCCAGAAATTATGCGTAAAATTCCAGATTTACTTGATTAGCTTACACGCTAGCTAAACTATGAAGTAAATGATGAACATAAAGCTGTAAACTTCTTGACCTATTATAATTTTAAAGTTATTTTATATGATGCAAGTTGATTGTGACTTGTTCAACTAAACAACTTTCAAACAGTTATTTTTGTTGAAAGATACAAATGAAAGTATGAAAGTTTTATCATGCACTGATCGATTCCAACTAATATCTTTATAATTGCCTTTATCCAGTTTAAGAAATCAATAAAACATAAGAACCAAATTAGAAGTTATCTACACTAGAAATCTAATAAGTACTTGTGATTTATTAGTTTCAATATTTTGAAAAACCATAAAAAGGATGACACATAAAATAAAACTATTACCCTGTTAAACTAGTCTTTCTGAAAAACTTTTCTAAGAGTATGTATGTAATGGTTTCATATTTGAAAAATTGTATTTTCCTTTTATAATGAACATACATTTACATCTTTACTTGTAGCTATTATTAACAATGATGATAAAAAACCAATACAAGAAATGGAATAGATAATTAGTCATAAATGACAATCATCATATGATCTGGAGAGATTTCGTTATTCTTTTCTTTTCTGGTATTCAGAAAAAGAATAGAAATTCTTATTAAGGTCAGGGCATTCGATTATAGAATAATGTACAGCGAAAATGACGTAGATTTTAAATAAATCAATAAATGGTTGGTACAATTCAAGATAATAATAATAATTGGTTACTTTTGACATACTATAAAAATCAATAGTACTGTACAGTGGTAAATACAAACTGATTATGTAAATAAGAAAGTTTATTATTTTAAAGCTGTTGAGCATGGAACCCTGCTAAATGACTTAAAATTCAGGAGTAATAACACAAATAACTCAAAACAGGAATTCACCGTATAACTAAACCTCAACAATCAGAAGTTTAAAAAGTTTACTAGTACTCCAGCCAACAATGAAAATATGAGGGTATTTATAGGACGTTTTGAGGTTCCCCTGAAAATCAACTAACAAGAATGATTTTCAGGGTGTTGTATATGAAAAAGGAACAGCAAAAAAGTATATTCTTTGACTGATCATGATTACCTTTTTTATCCATTGAATAAACAACTAGACATCAATTTTCAGATTTAATTAACTTGATATTTAACACTAGCTGATTCAAATATATTGTTTCATAATTGTGGTCCAAGAAGACAATTATTGAGAACAACTGTCTACATATTTTGAATACTATACACTTGATTAAATCTGACATTTGGAGAGTTTGAATGAGAAAAAAACTGATATTTTGGCCATATGTTATGAACAAAATTAATAGCAATGGAGAAAATAGTTGAAAATATATAATTTATTTAAAATAACTCAACACTGCATAGCTGTAAAACGTTTTTTTTTTTAAAAAAAAAGAAACTCATGTAACTTACAGCTGTATGATCATAAAGTGTTCGTATAACTGGATGAGTCTCCATTTGTTGTTGAGGTGTCTCTTGACCTAAATGGTCAGTTGGTGAGACACTTTTGGCTAGCATTCGTTCAACATCAAGTATCTAAATACACGTGATTTATAATTTAAAAACAAAATAAAGTAAACGGTAGGCAAATGAAATTAGTAAAAACATATTATGCTTACTACAAGATCAATCTCTTCAATAATATTACTATCCAGTTATCTAGGTCGAAGAAGGTATGAAACTAGGTGCTATATAAACTAAAGTACCGTGGACAGTTCATCAGTGATCACTTTGATAATCTATCCGTTTACTGTGCAATAGTGGTAATAATAATAATAATGAGTAATGCAACGTGTTGAGTGCAAGTTTGTATACTCGAGCTTAAGTCTTACTGTCTGTGACGGCTATCGATACGAAATACCTGCTCAAACCGACTCAGATTTCAAACTTATGACCAATTAACTAAAAGTCAAATGCTTTAATCACTAAGTTATAGCTGAGCAAACTAGTCATCCTGTCCCACTCGACGTACATATATATTCTATCCAAAAAGAATGACTAACTGTGACGAACAGTGCACTACTTTTTTGCTATTATTATAATATTTTAATTAGTTTACCTAAATTTCAAAATCGAATTGTAAGCGTTTCAAATGTCTATGTTGAACAATTCATCTTTAATAATGTTTTAAATCCTGACAAGGAATTATTAAAGATATGTATTCGCTTTATATTAAACGGAGTGTGTATCCTCACGTATCGCGTGAAACAGAAATGTGTGTATTTTGATTACTTTTATTTAAAATGTTCGTAATATGCTCTACTGTTATATCCCTAGAAAATTCTACAGAAGTTTGTTCTGCCCATTTAGATCTCTTTTTTTCTCTTTGTTAGTAGTTTTTATTATTGAATACGGTAAAAAGTAATGATTTCTACAACCATGAAACCAAATATGTTGCATAAGTGATCGACCAAAAGACGCCTAATTTCCATTTTTAGTAGAGTAAACAACTCCGAGTCAAAAGGATAACTTACTCAGTATCTCACTGTTTTAAGGACTTCAACATGATATTGTGCTTATAAGAACAGAAAGTCATACAAAAGAAACTAATTTACTTCCTACCTTGATCGAAGAATCATGAGATCCTGTTGCAACTAACTGACCTAACAAAAGGAAAAATTAAAACAATAGAACGACGAACATTTAGTTTACAAACACTTCAACCTTTGATTTATAAGAAGTCGACAATTTAAACGTTATTTTCCACAAAGTAAATATTAAGATCAAAATACTTCAAATAATCTCCAACACAGATTTAAACAACTTCACTCCAATAAAAAATCCAGTGTATGTGGTTAATGAAAACCGAGGAGATAATAATGACAGTTCAACATAAAACAATCACAAATTTGATAAAAATGTGGACCAGTATACCCAGACCAATAATTGCACTGGATTTCTTGATTGGTCAATAATCTCTATAGACAAAATACTACTGGTTATGATTTAATGACTGGCTTGTATTAATTATAATTTGGTGCAACACGATGGTCAGCCGAAACCTGAAACAGTTAGTGCTTAATCCAATAAATTTGAGGTCGGTTAATGTAAATACAATATTGGAATGGATAATTAGTTTGATCCAAGATTTATATAGAATACTAGTGAACTTAATGAACACTAAAAGCTAGGTCAGATGTTTTCTGTTACGTTCATGTAAACGTCTGGCACAAAACACGATATAGTTTATAAAAGGCTTATAGGAGAAAGACCAAAGAATATCTTCGCGCACTATTTAGTCATAAAAAATAAACCAGTCTATGAACAAAAACAGTGACATCTTTCAATTACTTTTGTTATTTGCACAAAATTATTAACCGAAAATGTACATCTAAACGGGAAAATATATTCAAACGGAGTTAAATCAGCTGTTTACAAGGGTATTCGTATGACATGTAACCTATGTCATTTGGAAATGAAAGAAAGTACTTTTAAGTCATTTTCACTTATCTGAATATATATATATATATTATATATATATATATATATATATATATATATAAATATATATATATATATATATATACTTGGATTTTAATATTATTTAAAAATATAGTAATTTAGATAAATAGTTCAGTGGTCAATGCTGCCGTAAACTGACGGTCTTAAGTATCACCGTGTATCTTTGGTATTAAATATAACTAAACATCCAAAATATTATTTGTGCATCCAGTTCATACAATAACGGCATTGTATCTAAATACTTGCCTTAATGATAAGCAGATAAAGGGGAAAAAGTCAATAAGAAGTGTTCAGAATGTTCACTGTAGAAATTTCGGAAGGTATGACCACAAATCTACTGAGGAAGAGAAATGCCTTGGAGAAAAACATCCTTATATCTGAAATCAATCACATAGGTTTCTGATATTAAAATCAACACAATAACAATTCCGTAAAATCCTGTCCATTCATATACTGACCTACGCTCAGGAAAATGATTATTTTTCGAGTTAATTTACTGCAATCTGCACACATAAAAAGACAACTATAGCATGATTTCCACAAGTGTTAAGCAAGGGATTGAAAGTAAAAACCTTCACTGACATTGTGTATGCACAGAACATCACAAAATGGACGTCTTTTAAAATTTAAAGCAATTACACTACTAACAATTTATATGGTAGTTAATAAAAATTTACATAAATTTATATTGCACTTTAACTCCAGAATAATAACGATGAAAATAAAAAATTACATCTTATTACCTGTGCTATTAAAGGATGCTGCACGACAGGCTGCCTTATGTGCCGTTACATAACAAGTTTCATATAGAGCTGCCTCAGGAGCCATTGTAGAACCTGTACGCAAAGTCAACGGAAATATTAAGGAATTAAGGTTTGATACGCAACTTGTACCATAGTTCAAATTAAAGTGTATCTAATATCATATAGAGGCTTTGAAAACGTTAATTTACCAAAGATTTCACAAGAATCCTGTACAATCACACAACCGCAAATGATTGGGTTGCTAGTTCGAGATGTTATTAAATCTGTAGAACTTAGTTATTTTCAAAGAATTTTTTTCCCTTCATCAACTACCGTGTTTTCTAAATCAAGCAGTTCCAACAGGTTCAAGTTCACTATCATGAGGACCCAGACAATTTATATCATGAGTCAATGGCTGTCAAATGCGTCTCCTAGTTTCACTGAATTTCAAAACTATATCCAAACAGGCATCAAGAAGCTCAATAACCGGGTCAATAGAATGTTGATTTACGTGGAGTAAATCAGGGCTGAAGCTGATTATTAAAAGGATGTTCTTGAAAGTAATAAACAGTCTTAATACTAATTTTATTGTTGTATTTTATTCAGATTACAGATGACTATTGTATTTTTGCTACATTAAAATAGAGTACTATACACAGAAAACATTTATTAATCAGATCTAAGAACTTTTAACCAATAACTTCAAGTTTACGCCTAAAATTTCAGAGTCCGTATGCTTTTCGGTAAACATCTATGGTACTTTTGAGTGAGGAAATAACGCCAGTCCAGTTTATAACAATGACAGGCTATGGAGTAGATATAAAGGCTACAACTAAGTTATATGATGAAATTTAATTTTCTAAAAAGCTCACAGTTCGAAAATTAACTTGCACAATAACTAAAACAACATTTGCTAAATAATAACTCGATAACCAGAAACCACCAACAAAAAGTGAATTCCAGGAAGTATAACCTACTTTCACTCTCAACTTCCAGATCGATTCCCGTGCCTGGGGCAATACTTTCACCTTCAATAACACCTGACTTTTCATGCTCATCTGAAACAGTAAAAACAGTTGGTGTAAACTGAATTCCGAAATGAGAACAAGTAAAGACAAGGAACATAACAGTCTAGCCAGACGTCCAAGGTTACCAATAGTGTTGATATAAGGCAAACATTCACAGTTCCCATGGCCTTGAATGTCTCTGCATCCAACATTAATGTGATTCTTAACAGAAACACATGCAGGCAAATCGATCTGCAGTTTGACTTCGCTCTCTCTGCAAACTTAAAAACAAGTCTGTGATATCGTTAGTACTTGCGGGCATGTAAAAACTATATGCGAACGACATACCGATCTCCAAACAGCTATTAGAAACAACTTTTAGTTCCATTCTGACTCAGTATGACTGAATTATATTGATGTCAATGAAGTACACGTACTCTCTTTAAGTTTGCACAAATTTTGTTGACTTGACAAATTTAGAGCAATGGTATATCGTGTCAGATACGAGTGCTTCGGGTGAATGTATTCCACATATTCAAGTCAGCAAACAGACGAAACATGGCAAATGTAAACTGGAGTGGCGTAAATAACTAAGTAAATAGCAGGTAAAGAGATAAGCAAGTATACGAACACATGCGTACTATCACACATCTATACCCAAGGTCAAATTAATAAATGATAGAATAACTGAAAAAATTAAAGCAGTTTATCTATCCAGTGGTTAGAACAGATCACGCAGGCATTTAACCACGTTCATTCGTGACCGAGGGTTTTCAGCTAGGTGTTCAGTAAAACTAACGAGATCAGCATCAATGTCGAGGACTTACGGAACTATTTGTTTTTTGGGATTTATTTACCGCTACACCACTTAATTCTATATGGAAGATCGGTTGTTATTAACTCACACAATGTGGCTGAATGGCACTATTCTTATTAGGTCAATCACATAAATAATGATTATAATAAGTCACATTATAAATAGCCCAATTATCACGAAGTGAGAGTTATGAATACTTGATTGAATACTACAAAATTACAGCAAATACTTAGACCAAAAATCACTCTACACAATTGGTGTTTTGCACTCACTTAATAGAATGACCATTGTGAGTGAACAGTGATAAGTGGAAGAAATTGTAATAGTTATTTAGAAAGCATTCAGGTACTCGAAGAATGCCATCAGACCTTCTGACTACTTAGCCACTATGACGCCAAAAATCTTGCGGTTTACAACTACTTCTTCAGTCCTATAAAACTGAAAAGATTTACCTCAGAGCCCATATTTATGTGTAAATTAATGTAAACCTACTAAACCTTAATACTTGGGACTGTCCATGAAGTTAAATGTGGATTTTTAGCTGTACACAAACAGACATGTGAGACCGACACAGTTGATTATCAAACATGTGAACGAGTCTACTTTAAGTAGATCTTAAGCAAAGCCAATCATCAGATATCTGGTGAAATTCGCACTACTGCTATAAATACCAGTTAACTTCAGTGAGTTACAAATGATTTGGTCAGATTTACGATTTCAGCCCACCCAAACAGGTGAAATCAGATCCATTGATGGAAGCCTTTAAAGAAAAACTGGATAGTAAGGATTAATATATTTCAATTAAACTATTATCCCCACGACTGAAGACTGAGACATTTTTATTAGAATACACAATGAAAGATTATGATAGACAGACTCTAGAATCCGGCAGTGGATACAAAATCAACTGAAATAATTCTGGGGAAACAAACTGTTGGAGTAAATTATGTTACCTTCAGAAGCAGAAAGGCCAAGTTTTACGAGACGGAATAGGCGATTGGATGGACCACATGCCGCTGAAGGACTTACTAAATTAACCAGATTAACAGCCATAGTCTGAAAACCATCATAAAACAGTTGACTGAGCTGAATGTATTTAGAAAGAAAATGTACCTAATGATAAGACGATACAGCAAATCCCTTTCTTTGAAGGACATTAGTAGCGCAAACTGTTGTATTTTGCAGCAATTATTAAACAGTTCAACTGGAGAATATCTAGGGATTTAAGGCTTGAATCACAGTCTCTGAACCTCAGTTTACGTAATAAGGAAACGAGGTCTGTTGACCAATATAATCTTCCCAGTTTGTAACACTGTGGAGGTTCAATCTCGTTATGAATATTATCAACGAGTGTTGATATACGTGTTCTGGTAGAGGATTCCAGTAACTCACTACCCGGTGAGAGGAAAGGAACTCCAGATGTAGCCGATCTGATTTCGATTTCTAGGCTTTCTTCGAAAATCCTCTCAAACGATCAGTTCTAGGCGGGAGGAAAAGATAAGACATATTAGTGCCAAGGTCGTCGTTCAGCATACGACAAGCCAATATCAGATCACCCCATAATCTGCGATAAGATGATGGATATAAGTTAAGGCGCCTCAGCTTGTCTTCATAAGATGGACCAGAGAGACCTTTTACCAGTTAAGTCCTTTGTCGTTGGACCCGCTCCAATATATCCGCCTAATACTTGAAACAAGGACTCGCTGCTTGAATCCCATATTCTAAATGCGGTCCCACGAAAGTCGGATAAAGTACTCTAAATATTTCTTCATCCAAATGCTGAGAAGACCTATGAATAGCCTCAATACTCTGAAGCCTTTGCAGCAGCCTTGCAGTTGCTCGTTATTTTGGGGTAATCCTCATAATGACTCCTAAATCTTTATAGTCCATTACCTTAAATGACAAGTCCACGTATTATGTAGTGATACGAACAATCATAGTTTTTAATTGGATCACCACACTTTTGTTAGAATTCACTTCTAGTGACCATCTGTCCATCCATGCCAACAATGAATTGAGATCATCCTGTAATACTATTCTGTCTGGCATTGTATGGTTCTCCAAATCTTTGTGCCATCGGCGGAGAGTAGAACGGATGGCTTAGCTGCAGTTGACAATTCATTTACATAAAGTAAAAAGAAACGAGGACCAGGGAGACTCGATGTTCTACAGGTTCCCACTCTCAGGGAGCTCAATTTATACTAACCCGTTGTCTTCTATCACTGAGAAAGTCACTTATACATTTTATGATTTTATAATGAATCACAATAATTTCCAGTTTTGATTTAAGACCCACGTGACAGACCTTGTCAGAGGCTTGATTTAGGTCCATGAAAGTTACATCTACAGGAATATTACTATCTTTTGTTCCAGCACAACCTTTTCTTGCAATGAGCAAATTTGTCAAACATGATAGGCCTTTCCTTAAGCCGTGTTGTTCCGTGAGTAAAAGATTTTTCCGTTCCACATAACTTAAAATAGCCATCCGAGTGATGTTTTCCATAGGTTTGATAACACTGGTTAGACTAACAGGTTGTTAGTTACCAACTAAGTCTCTGCTCCCCGACTTATACACAGAACTAACTATTGGGTCTTTCGGCCTACGCGGTACTAGGTATGATACAAACGAGGACGTAACTGAAATAAGCTTGCCTTTAAATAAAGAGCGTGCTTCTCCAACTGACGAGTCACTATCTACTGACCAATCTGTCTTTGCAGCTATCCATACATTTGAGCGAGGCTCAGCCTGATCGTCCTTCAAGTCACTAGCTCCAAATGTGAATGATAAAACAGCATGATTGCTAATCGCTAACAATGGAAGAATATCCTCAGTCGCATGAGTGATTACCCAGTCTGACAAAGAAAAACCTCGGTTCGGACCGAAAAGAGTGGGTTTGGATACATGCTCTACTAATGCATGCTTCATTACCGTTATCTGGAACCTACTCTCAGATAAGTTTGTAGATAATACAGTGGCCATTTCGGCCCAACTATTCTCAGGTGCAATAAAGTCTCCTAATATTAAGCATGTGTTATTTGCACTACATAGGTGAAAGTGCTCCAAAATAAAGTCACCAGCTAGGCACCGAGTAAAAGTGTGCAACATCTGATAGTCAGCTCATAGATAAGGACTTCACAAGTTCCACTATCATGGTATTCACAAGCAAGGGAGCTGATGTATATATTATTGCCAGTGTATGAAGGGATGTCACCTCTTTTCCCACATCTATGCCTATCACTTCTTGAGTACTGGCATCCGGATAATTCTGGAGTAATGTCGATGTCGTGGACCAAGCGAGTTTCCGTCACAGCTACAACGAGTGACCTCACTTGGTCCACTGGTGCTCGTGGTTCATAGAATTCATTTCTTAGACGATGAGCATTCGCATTCAAAACAACTAGGAAGGACGACCTATCCACACAGGCCATGGGAGCATACGCTTTCAAGACCTGACTAATCAAAGACTAACTAAGCAGAAATTTTCGTCATCATATTTCCGACGAGTGTCAAGCTCAGCTAGTGCCTTCTTCCTTTTTATTTTGTCTTTTAGAGACATATCAGGTCTTAATCGAGTGCCAGTACTGGCGTGAATACGAGCGCTACTTAACGAAAGATCACGTTGCTTCTCTGACGCTAGGATTACTTTAAGGAGTTCACATGGTCGGATTCAATACTGTCGTCGATCTTCTTACCTGTTCTTACCAATTTTTGTCATTAACTGCTTTGGAATCACCTGATAAGATAATACGGACAAGTTTTCCAGCCTTTCCAAGTCGAGCGCGTATCTAATTTTGAGATCAGTGTCGTTTTATTCTAGTAAATTATTTACGATAATATTTGATGAATTTAAGTTTTTCCCAACCACGCTAGGGTGCAGTTTTCGTGCCTTTAGTTAACCCCCGTTCTATTGATAGACGAAACTAGACTAGTAATGGATAGGTCTTTATCTAGATGACGGCACAGTCACAGCGGTGCCGGGGATTACCTGCTTAAACACACAAGGTTTTTCAATATTCAATATAAGACAACAGGACATATCATGCCTATACAAAATAAGGAAGTAAATGAATACTTACGCTTTATTGCTCTGACATATGCTTAGTTGTTTGAGGTCAACTCTTAAATAATCAACCTAAGCCGTGACAGAATTCTGTCCTACTATCAGGCTTTGGTAGTGCGTTTCGTGACTCAGAATAAGAGTTCACCAATGACTTGTCAACTAATTGGATGCTTCCTATAGCTTTTTCGCTCACTTCTTTGTCTACGTGCTGTCAACCATTTTCCGTCACTCAGAACAGCCATTAGGGACGGTGACGGTTTTATCCGGGTCTTTAGTTTTTACTGTAGAAGTATGACTACTCATATCAGTATCATGTGGCACTTCACTTCTCGTTGGTTTCAGCAAAGATTTGATTTCCCATCAAACATAGTCGAGTAGTTAACACATCCCGTAACAGCACGTACCACACTGATACATTATTTACTGTCAGTACTCGTGTTACCAGCGCAACCACTATCATTCTTCTTACAGGCCATAGCTAAGAGACTCACAGCCCCCTGGATCAGTAACGCCTTATTCATACTGCAAAATATACAAAGCCAGTGAGAGTTAGGCCTAACATCTTTACCTCTCCATTAGCCTTAATGAACGACTTTACTTGTTATTATTTTCCATACTCTTTCTTCGTTTATACTTCTTAACACTTTCCCACTATGTCCTTTTTTTCTGAAATATACACTTCATCGCTCAGTTATCTGAACATTTCTTATTACGTAATCTTATGGTTTTTGTGAGTGTTATTTCAGTGTCTATATTTTTCTAATCCCTGACCTATTTCCCAATATGCAACAATGATTCAAGCCTCTTATCACAGCTTGCACACCTGTCATCACACTACCAATGTGTACTTCTCACGTATTATGTATATTTATGTAATCTGTACCACTGTTATCACTAACTCACAAACTCCCTTTATTGGTTTAATAGATTCAAGTATAAATATTAGAATGAAAATATATTAGAATGAAGCCTGATTAGAATCGCTTAACTATGAAGAGCCATCGGGAAATGTCAATCACATAAACATTGAACAAAATAACTCATCACTCACTAGGCTAGCTGCTGTGCTACCAAATTTTATTACTCCTTAACAGCTTTCGATTGTTCTGCTTGATTCAAACGCTCTCTGCAATAAGATGGCCAGTCTTACATCTCTAGCCTACTTGGTCAATCCATGCTGTATTCTAATTACTGTAACCTGGTGCACACCATGCAGACATGGTCAGTCCATATAAAATCTATTGAATCTTATACTAGGCATATTACTTTCTACCCGGCCCAGATGTGTTCTTCAGGAATATTAGACGTTACATAGCTTATTCTTACGATATGACGATGATGTGAATTCTGAGTATGATATTATAGATTAGGTTTTCAGATCATGACAAATCTACAATTTTAGGAATGGGTC